CCCTAAAACCCCAAACCCCAAAAAGACCCAAACCCCAAAACTCCTACAGAACTCCAAAAGCCCTAGCGTGCGCTGCTCCAGGCATCAACTTCATCGCTATTGGCCAGGAGCCCCAGATCTTACCAGGAGCTCACAGTGGCACCTTTGGAGCCCTAAACCCTAAACCCTAAACCCCAAACCCCAAACCCTAAACCCTACACCCTAGACCCTAGACCCTAGACCCTAGACCCTAGACCCTAGACCCTAGACCCTAGACCCTAGACCCTAGACCCTAGACCCTAGCTCTAAAACCTAAACCCTATACCCCCTACCATAATCCCGATTCAGGACTGTTCGTAAAAGGGGGAACATCCCAAGTAGCCACCCCTCCCCAGTTCTCGGCCTGTTGCCTACGCACCAGGCTCAACATGTAGTTTTCCCATGGGCCCTAAACCCTAGCAACCTTATAATCCCTAACCCCAAACCCTAAACCCTAAATCCTAAACCCCGGAACAACACACCGCCAGACACCGCCGACACTCGCCGCTGGTATGTGCTTGAGGCCTCCTGATGATGTCGCAGCTCATCATCACAGTTCCCTATGAACCGAGCCCCGCCTGCAGTTGAGGAGTTCAGGGTTTAGGGCTTTGGGGTTGTGGGTTTGGGTTTAGGGTTTAGGGGTTAGGGTTTAGGGTTTAGGGTTTAGGGTTTAGGGTTTAGGGTTTAGGGTTTAGGGTTTAGGGTTTAGGGTTTAGGGCTAGGGTTTAGGGTTTAGGGTTTAGGGTTTAGGGTTTAGGGTTTAGGGGCTCAACTCTGGCAAAAACGAAAACCGGCCAGCAGCCCCTTTAGGCCATCCCTTTCCTCCGTAGGCCCTTGGGACATGTAAGTATTTCCCCTTACTGGGTTTAAGAGTGTAGGGTTTAGGGTTTAGGGTTTAGGGTTTAGGGTTTAGGAGGGTCATACTCAGGAATATTTTTCAGAGGGGTTGAAGGGCCATCCTAGTTTCTCTCTTCCCAGAGATCTCTCCAACCGAAGGTCTTTGTTTGCAGTGTTGCGCGCTCGCTTCTTCTTTCGCGAGCGCAACGCGAGGACCATGAAGATGCCCAAGCCGAATGCGTTAAGGCCTACCTCTCCCCTTCATCCTCTTCTTCTTCATTATTCCTCGACCCTTTGCATCATCTCGGGGATGATGCCTGCAGGCTTAGTCGCGGACGGTGCCCCGCTCGGGAGGCGACCCCGTCGTCACAGCCGCTTGAAACCCGCCTTGCTTACCTCCGCCGCATCTTGCAGGGCGGCTTGAAGGAGCTCTTTCGCTCTCACCGCCGTGTCTACCGCCAAAGCAGCGGCACCCCCCCTAACCCACACTCCACCTGCTTGTCATCCGCGTGCACTCCAAGTCCCACACTCTTCCGCCACCCGTTCCGACCTCTGCCCTGCCCTCTCCGCCTCACCCTCGCCCACTCTTGCAAATGAACAGCGTGCCTTGCGAAAGATAGTTGCATGCGAGCTGCAGACTGCTGTGTGCTTTTGCCGAATTCTCACTCCTGCAGGATAGGCAAACACACGTTCATTATGTGCGCCTGCGGGCTTCATGAAGATGCGAACGCTGGTGTTCAGCTGACGATTGACGATTTTACTCCCTGCATTGCGCTTAGGACGTGTGGGCCAGTGGATGGCTTCCGAGCAGCAGGCAGGAGCTTCTGACAACCTCAAGCCTTTAACCCAAGCATGCTAAACCCGGGACCTACAGTTTAGTAGTAGCAACCCCCGTAATTAGTAGGTGGAACCCATACAGCTGTAGGTAAAGAGGGTCCCAGGAGGACATCTGGCAGTTTTTCCTCGCTTCCGGAGCCTCTTGTTTTTTTGCCTGTCTCTCTCTCGTTCTATCTCCCTCTCCCTAAACCCCAAAGGCCCTAAACCCTAAACCCTAAAACCTCGTCGGAGGGCCCATGATCTGGAACCTGGACTTCCCGCAGCTTGAAATGCAGTTGTTGTTGGGGTTTAGGGTTTAGGGTTTAGGGTTTAGGGTTTAGGGTTTAGGGTTTAGGGTTTAGGGTTTAAGGGTTTAAGGGTTTTAGGGGTTTAGGGTTTTAGGGTTTCTAGGGTTTCTAGGGTTTTAGGGTTTAGGGCAGTTTAGGGTTTCCGGTTTCGGGTTCCGGGTTTCGGTTTTAGGGAGGCGGAGCCTCCTTGTAGGGTAAGGCGCCCGCACAAAGAGAACTGACAGAGAGGACGGGCCTGAGTCGCTCTTTCAAAAGCCCTAAACCCTAAACCCTAAACCCTAAACCCTAAACCCTAAACCCTAAACCCTAAACCCTAAACCCTAAACCTAAACCCTAAACCCTGAGGCTCAAGGAAGTGTGGCTCCTCATCTACCAAGTCACCCTGGAGAACCGGGGCTCCCTCCTGGCAGCCGCCCGGCTAAGAGTTAGGGTTTAGGGTCTTAGGGTCTTAGGGTCTTAGGGTTTTAGGGTTTTAGGGTTTTAGGGTTTTAGGGTTTTAGGGTTTTAGGGTTTTAGGGTTTTAGGGTTTTGGGGTTTTAGGGTTTTAGTGTTTTAGGGTTTCAGGGTTTTAGGGTTTTAGGGTTTTTTGGGGTTTTAGAGTTTTAGGGTTTAGGGTAACCACCCGGTCTAGGATCCCAATTTTTTCGGGTTAATTTTGTCCCAAATATGAGGGGAACCTGATTTTAAGTATGCCCGAGCCCAGGGGACGTGCTTCGTGATGACGGTGCTTGCGATGATGCACCAGGCCATGGGGGGGCAACAGCAATGGTTGGGCCGGGGTGGGAGGGAGGCTTTAGGGCTTATATAGGGCTTGTGGTTAAGGGCTTAGGTTTAGGGTTAAGGCTTATGGTGGCCAGGAGAGATTTGCTTTTCCCCACCTGCACACGAGATGGGATGCACTTAGGTCAAGATGAAGACCAATCGCAGCGCCGCCCGCTCAGCGAAGCACTACAATGAGTTCGGGGCTTTGTAGAGCGTTGTGGGCTCTGATCTGATGCTGCTCTCCCCGTCATCTTTGTTTTGCTCGCTGCGCGCTCACGGTCCGATGAACAAAATCATGTGGCATGTTGGCGTGCGAAAAGCGAGAGGATTGAGCTGACCATCAGGATTTAGCAGGCAATGAAGGAGGCTCAGCCGGCACCATATGTGATAGACGGCGCGGCTGGATTGCCTGGCTTTCCCCTGCCTTATCTCAACTTGATGTATGGTGCCCAGCGGCTTTACGCGCACATGCCTAGCGTTGCTAGACATCTTGCTCGTTTACAAACACCTCGGGAACCAAATCAAGCCCAAAATCGGGTAATGATATTAATGTCCCTTACAACACAATGGTGTTTAGAGTTTTGTAGAAATACATCGAAAACATCGGCTGGAACTAAGGCGGGGGCAGGGAGGCGAAAAGCAAATCGAAGCAAAATCGGAAGAGTCAAAAGGCAAACCACAAACTCCAAGTAAAGTCAAGACAGATGGACCGAAATGCCCGCAGGCCCGGACAACGAATGAAATACATACATAAGTACAAAGTGCGGAATTCTAGCCTGTTTGTGTAGTTTTTCTTTTTTTCTGTGTCTCATGTTTCTTCCCCCGCTCCAACTTTCCCCTCCCCCCGCAGTTCCAGCCGATGCTTTTTCATTGTTCTTGATTTTGGTTCAGTGTCTTGTAAGGTTTTATACATCAGAAGACTTGGGGCCACTTACTCTACATTACTATAATCCCTCTGAAGGTATGTGAACCACAAACCCTTTGAGGGTTCATCATTGGTCCCCATGGGTTTGCAGAAAGACGAAGAGCCAGAGAGCCGACCACACATTATGGAGTTTAGGGTTTAGGGTTTAGGGCTTAGAGGGTTTAGAGGGTTTAGGGTTCATAGGGGTCCAAATCGAGGTCGTCGAGCAGATGTCCGGCGTTGCAAACCGACATGTGGCATCCCTGGAGAGGCAGTTTAAGGGTTTGGGGGTTTAGGGGTTTAGGGGTTTAGGGTTTTGGGTTGAGGGTTTCCCAAAAAATCCAATCCTTTCCCCCCCCAACAGAAATGAAATGCAAGACACTCTTGTGTTTTAGATCCTTGCAGGGAGTTGTGGCGCATGGACCGGCGGAATGACCTGCTGAAGCGGCGCCTGGAGTGGTTGGAGGGAGAGAAGTAATTCGGGCTGTAGGGTGTAGAAAAAACGTCGTCTTGCGCACCTCTGCCCTGTTGCAATACTGAGCATATGCCGGCACACTGCCTCACGCCGGTGATTGAAACCTTGCCTTCGATGGCAGGGTGCACAGGAGTGGATCAGAGCTTGGCCGCCTTGGCTGCAGCGTGTGTACAGATGCAGCAAGCTTGTCTTCGGCATCAAGCTACTCAGCTATTTCCCACCCACCCTGGCTTCTGAATGATGGTTCACATGCCAGGGGGGATGTGCACGCCACCACGTGCTCCTTTTGTCACGATGCACTCAGCTCATCCCCTTGGGATGTCAGTTGTCAGATCTGAGAAGAGAGCACGTGGCCCCTGCACCTGAGTGCTGCACATGCGAACTTCCACATAGCATGCGCCGCACTTAGGCCAAGGCCATGTTATTTCGTCGCCAGACATGCAAGCGAGCCGTTGAAGCTTCGTAGGAGGGTCAAGGCGAACCTACATGGGCTATTATACCCTATAACCCCTTAAAAGGACGCTTTATCGGGTTGGTTAGGGGATTACAAGGCCTAATAGCCCTTGCCGGAATGCTGCATTGCTTGCGTCCGTGGTCCTGCGCATTGTGGAAGTCTGGTTTTCGCTGCACCCAGCGACGGATCAAAAGTGCGCGGTCTTGCCTGGTACCTTGGGGGCCAAATGAACCCTAAAGTTGGGGTCATATACCTTATACCACGATGATTCCTATCAGGGATAGATGAACCCTGTAAGGCCCTTAAGGGTTGATACTTGCTCCCCCAAAGGTGTTGTGGGGAGGTAGCGCAAGGGCGAGCACCTTCCACCTCTCCTGTATAAGCCTACTAAACCCTAAACCCTAACCCCAAACCCTGTATGCTCAGGTTGCAAGGCTTGGGTGAGATACCCCTCCTCCTCGTGGACGAGGCCTACTGAGCAGGGAGTGGAGCGCACATCGCAACGCTGCTCAAAGCATTATATGCGATGGAATGCACCCAGCGGTAGCATTGTCACCCCTAAAGCCCCCTACACCCCTCATGAGCCCCAAGGCCCTCAACCCCCTAAAGCCCTAAGCCTGTCATAAACCCCTAAAGCCCCTGCAGTCGGAGCCCGAAAAGTCATAGCAACTTCTTGTGATGCTTGAAGCTAATGAGGGGAAACACAAGACGAGGTCATAACAAACAGCGCCCCCCTGCTGTTGCAAACCCCCTAAGGCCTAACCTTGCGGACCAAGATTCTGAACCCTAAAGGGTTTATGGCTCATCTACCTTCATTGGGGTTACAGTAGCTTATGGATTATGACCCCAATCTTAGGGTTCATTCGTTCATTCCCCCCCCCCCCCCCCCAAAAGAAGCCCCTCTAAAACCGATTTACGAGAATAAGGGACCCCTAATGCAGGACCGACAGAGAGTAGGATTCCCTTAGCATAAGGGACCCCAAGAAGATACCCCTAAACCTTAAACCCTAAGCCCTCGTACCCCCAAAACCCAAAACCCTAAACCCTAAACCCTAAACCCTAAACCCTAAACCCCTAAACCCCTAAACCCTAAACCTTAAACCCTAACCCCTAAGCCCTAAGCCGTAAACCCTAAACCCTAAACCCTAACCCCTAAGCCCTAAGCCGTAAACCCTAAACCCTAAACCCTAAACCCCTACTTTCGGAAACCCCCCCCCCTCTTCAAGGCGGCGCAGTGCGTGGAGCCCGGGCTCTTCGTGCCGCTCAACTGGGGCTCCCAGGCGTTTGCGCTGGCCGCGTGGGCTGAAAAACAGCAGGGGGTGGGGGCCGGGGTTCCCAAATGATTTACTTTGGCCCTAAACCCTAAACCCTAAACCCTAAACCCTAAACCCTAAACCCTAAACCCTAAACCCTAAACCTTGGCTTAGTGCTCAAAGGGCTTAGGGCTTAGGCGAGAAAGGGTGCGCGTTGTTGCCAAGTGGGAGGTTTTGTTCAGAATTCTTTGCCCCATGATGGCACCCTCAAAGAAGCCTTAAGGAACTCAAATAGGGACTCCAAGATACAGGAGCCATCATCTTCAGCAACCCCATCTTTGCCGGTTGCTGCACTTTAACACACTTGCATACTAGATCTGCCTCCATTCCGAGTGCTCTCTGAGCAGGGGTCAACCCTAAACCCGAAACCCTAAACCCTAAACCCTAGCCCGAGGTTGGTGACGAGAAGCAACTTCCTGCCACCATCAAATCCACGAAGGCGGTGTGCGCAGCCCCAGGAAAGCAGCAAGTGACGTAGCTTCCCGTTGTCCGGATTTTTGGGAAGGGTGGGATGGTCTTGTTAGCATTTGCATCGCATTCTCCTCAAATACAAACATAAGATTGAATATAATGCAGGAATAAATATATAAAGAAGCAAAAAATATCTGTATGTATATATATATATATGTATATATATATATAGATATATATATATATATGTATGTATATATATATACATTCATATGCTACACTTCTGTTGAACTGAATGGAGAGTTGGCCCACTCTCGATGCCCAGGCAGCTGGAGCTCGGCGTCTCAATCTTTGAGCCCGGAGCTCAGCTATCAAGGCAGAGTATTCCTAAACCCTAAACGCTAAACCCTAAACCCTAAACGCTAAACCCTAAACCCTAAACCCTAAACCCTAAACCCTAAACCCTGTCATCTCAGACACGCCATCTTGGAGGAGTTGTTCTATCTCTGTGCGCGCGTGTTTGGGCAAAGAATCTTACAAACGAATCCCCAGTCCTGGTATGTCTTGCCGAATAGGCCTAGTGATGAGGCAGAGAGCAGGGGCAGCCACAGATTCCCTCGAAATGAAGATGCCCAAACCCGCTTCCCAGAGGGCCCTCGCCCTGCGCCCCTCTGCCCATCCATCCCCCTCCCCCCCTTAAACTAGGATGCCAAGTAGTGCCCTTATTCCCTGTTAAGTGGGGGTTTAGGTCCCGCATATACCCCCTATTGCTAACAAGGATACACCCTTCCACCCTCGGAGGCGCTTCGTGCGAGATGGGATCGTCTCCCAGGGTCGGCGGCCGGAGCGGAGAGGGAGAGCCGTGCATTCCATGTGATGTGGAGGGCCTTCTCTGGTTGCTGTATCTAAGGTTCGTTTCACAAGAAAAGATCCTAAACCCAAAGCTATCCTAAGCCCTCATATGCCTAAACCCTTATCCCACACACATCCTCAACCCTAAACCTAAACCCTCATACAGCCTAAGCCCCAAACCCGAGAAGCCCTCATACATGACTCACCCGAAACCCTAAACCCTAAACCCTAAGTCCACTTTGCAAGGCAGCGGCTTCGTCCAGCTGGACGAGCAGCAGCGCATGCACCCCTCGATCTCACGGTGCGCGGCATGCGTTTTAAAGCAAAAAAATCAAGACGTCAACAGAAACATGAGTACAAAAGGGAATAGGTAAATAAATAAATAAATAATATATATATATATATATGTGTATATAGGTTTTATATACATATCTGTATACATATTTACATATTACACTATATTTTGTTTTATTTTATGCGTATTATGCTATATTGTACTGTATTTTATACTATATTCTACTACATTATATAAATATATATATATATATATATAGAAATATGTGCATAGAGAGAGAGAGATATATATATATATACAGAGACAAAAGCGTGTATACGGACTATGGCAGAACACACGAAGAGCCGGTGGAAGCCCGACGCTTGGCATGGGAGCCGGGATTCCCATTTGCCTGTGGCAGGTTCCCGTGCGACGCCTTCTACGGCGGGACCGTGCGCGATGGCGCGGAGATGTCACAGCGCGAGCCGATTCCCGGGTCGGCCACTCAGCCGTTGAAAGCCGTGATGTCGTACGTCAACTGACCTTACATGCAAAGAGCTGCGTGTAGAAGCCAATGTGCGAGTCTACAGCTGTGTCTTTTATGCGAAAAAGTCCACGAAAGACGGCGTCCCATGAAGATCCTCTGCCAAAGAAGTTTGCTGCAGATAGGTGTCTTGTGCGCATCACGAGAAGGGCAGACGAGGCTCAAGTCGGAAGGGAATGTGCGAATGTGCAAAAAAACTTCGGAGAAGGGTCTCAGTTCACCATGGAATCGGAAAAGGGGCCAAAAAAAAATGCCGAACGAACTATCCAAAGAGTGAGACACACATCTTCCTGCCAGCGAATCAAAACCGCGCGGGTCACATGTGGAATCTACAGCTCCCACTTTAAAACAATTGCCGATCGCCGCTCTTGAGCTTCATCTCAAGAACCCAAACCTACACTTTTTTGTAGGTTCTGATTCAAAAGCCCTTCCAGGATTCTTGGGTAACCTACAAAAAGGTGTTGGGTTTTTAAGCCAAGATGTCTTGAGGTTCCCTTGGCCCGTGCCCGAATGCCACGTGGCCTTCGTCGAGTGTGGCGTTTACAGTGGTGAGGACTGCCGAGAAGCACATTTTGAAGCCCTAAACCCTAAACCCTAAACCCTAAACCCTAAGCCCTAAACCCTAAACCCTAAACCCTAAACCCTAAGCCCTAAACCCTAAACCCTAAACCCTAAACCCTAAACCCTAAACCCTCAGCCCTGCCCGGGACCCTCTTTACTTACGGTTTTCTGGGTTACACCTATCAAGTAAGGGTAGTTATTTCTAAATTGTAGAGTTGAGTCCCAGGTAAACAATAAACCCTAAGCCCCAAGACCCTAAACCTGAGAAGTCCATGAGCCTTGGTCCTAAACCCTCAACCCCAAACCCCAAACCTTAAACCCTAAACCCTAAACCCTAAACCCTTAACCCTTAACCCTTAAACCCTTAAACCCTTAAACCCTTAAACCCCAAACCCCAAACCCCAAACCCTAAACCCTAAACCCTTAAACTGCAGGAGGGGGCCCTTGGAGGTAGCCACTCCAACTACCGCGAGGTGTGCTGTGACTCTGCCAGGGGAGGGTTTAGGGTTTAGGGTTTGGGGTTTAGGATTTTATGGGTTTAGGGTTTAGGGCTTAGGGTTTAGGGTAAAAAAAGAGCTCTGTCTTTGTGGGTGCCCTGGTTATGGAGGCCCCATAACTGGGGGAAGAAGGGCCCAGAACTGATAATTTCCAATGCTTTATAGCTAAACCCTAAACCCTAGACCCTACACCCTAAACCCTGAATGGTGGCTTTCGGGACCCATTTGGGGGGGGGGGGGCAGGCAGAGGTCCTCCTGGCCGTCCTGAAGCGATGTTTGCTGGAAGGCACTGCGGCCAGCCAGGCCCGCTACAGCACTGGGGGGCGTTGAAACGCAGGGCTCCATGCGGCTGTTTAGGGTTTAGGGTGCAGGGGCGTAGGGCCCTAAACCCGAAACCCTAAACCCTACGTAAACACGCCTGGAGATGCCAGGAATTCCGAAAAAAAACTTCAGGCTGAAAGGTTTGTGGCCGTCAGAGAACTTGATGCCGGAGAGATGTCCCTGTTTTGAAAGCAAGCTGTCGGAATCCTAGACCCTAAGCCTAAAACCTAAACCAACCCTAAACCCTAACCCTAAACCCTAAACCCTAAACTCTTCGGAAACCGGGAGAGATCGCTGGCAGATTGGCATCATCACCGGTTATTCTGCGCAGCAGGCTGGCTTGATTCTTGCCAGGAAAGTGGGTTTGAGGCTCAGGTCTTTCTCCGAAAAAAATCGGGGTCCCGCAATCGATGCTATAAGTCAGCCGTTTCTAGGCACCCCCAAAAGGGTACCCCTCTTTTCGGAAGCTCCCCCCCCCCCCCCCCCCCCAATGTCGGCAGTGGAGGCTCAGGGTGCCTTGTTGTTTGAGGGCTGATGCGATGCCCTAAACCCTAAACTCTAAACCCTAAGCCCTAAACCCTGGCGGGGAAGGTGAGGCTATGAACCCTATAAACCCTGGAAACCCTAGACCCCTGGGATCCTGTCTTGTGGTGAGAGGCCTAAACTCACTCCCTAAACTCCCTAAGCCCTAATCCCTCAAGCCCGAACCCTAAACCATCCTAAACCTGACGCCCTATCATAAACCCTCTACCCCAAACCCCCCACAAGAGATCCCGTCTTGTGGTGAGAGGCCTAGAAACCTAAATAAACCCCCTAACCCCCAACAAAGCCCTATAACCCCCCCAAAAGAACCCTATAACCCCCCAAAAAGAACCCAGTAACCCTACGAACCCTATGGCACAAAGATCCCGTCTTGTGACAGGCCGAAACTCCCTCAACTCCCTCAGCCCGAAGCCCTAAACCATCCTTAACCCGAAACCTAAACCTCTACCCCTCACCCACCACAAGAGATCGCGTCTTGTGGCAAGAGGCCTAGAAACCCTACATCAACCCTATAACCTCGAAAAAAAAGCCTACAACCCCCCAAAAAACCCTATAAACCCACCCTACAAAAAACCCAACAAAAACCCAAAAAACCTATAACCCTCAAAGGAACCCAATAACCCTACGAACCCTATACCACAAAGATCCCGGCTTGTGGTGTGAGGCCTAAACTCCCTCAACTCCCTCAGCCCCAAACCATCCCAAACCCTAAACCCTATAAACCTCGCCCCCGAACCCACCACAAGAAATCCCGTCTTGTGAGAGGCCTAGAAATCCTGTATAAACCCAAAAAAAACCTACAACCCCCCCCCCCCCCCCCCCCCCCAAAAAAAAAAAACCCAACAAAAACCTATAAACCCACCCTACAATAGATCCCGCCTTGTGGGGAGAGGCCTTGCTGCAGCGGGAAGTTGCCAAGTTGGGCCTCCCCGGCTTGCGAGTCTGGGGCCCAGAGTTCTGTTTCCCCACCCGACCACTGGGGGGGGGGGGTGTTGATTTTAAGGAAGTGGGCTTCGGGTTTAGGGTCTAGGGTTTGGGGTTTAGGGTTTAGGGTTTAGGGCATCAAGCAACAGCCAGAGGTCATGGAAGAGTTCATTGCTTGGTTGAGACACGCGTTTTTTTTCTTAATGTTGGCACCCGTCCTTGGGGACAAAATGAACCCTAAAAGGGTTTTAATGGTTCATACGACCTTAATAGGAATTATAGTAGTATAGGGTATATTTGGTCCCCAAGGTTTTTCCTGAGATTCAGCAAGAGCTACAAAGCGCAAATTAGTAGTAGAGCGATAAGTGCCCCCTTCTCCCCTAAATCTCAAACCCCAAATTGAAAACCCTATGCCGTAAACATCCTTGTAGAGGGGTTTCGGGTTAGGGTCATAAAACTTCCCTATACAGCGTTTGGGGTTAGGGTTTAGGATAACCCTACCCCTAAACCCTAAACCCTAAACCCTAAACCCTTAACCCGGCGGAAATATGACCCACGGCACGCTGCGGTCTGAGGTGGATACCGTTGACGGCTTCCAGGCCATGATCCGCCCAGGATGAGGTTTAGGGTTTAGGGTTAGGGTTTAGGGTTTAGGGTTTAGGGTTTCGGGTTTAGGGTTTAGGGTGTAGGGTGTAGGGTGTAGGGTGTAGGGTTTGTGGGAGCTTACGAAAAGAAGGGACCCCGAACATAGACATAGACCCCCAAATAGTAGATTATGTGCAGATTCCACCATTTGAGTCGACACGAATTTCAAAGCCATTTTGTTTTGGTAGGCTTCCCTGATAATCAGGACCTCAATAAAGTACCCCTAACTTCCGAGACCTCCATATGAGCGCTCGTCTCCCATGTTTATTTTGGGTTGAGCGTAGAGGCCTAAACATTGGGGTTTAGAGTTTAGGGTCTATCGGGTCAAGGGTTTAGGGTTTAGAGTTCAGGTAGAGTTCCCAATTCCTCATCGCTGGCCATAGCCCTAAACCCTAAACCCCAAACCCTAAACCCTAAACCTGAAGTGACGCACACGAGTCCTCTGGGCGCAGGGGGCCGAGCGAGATCTGATTCTCGCCTCCACTGCGCCCTGTCCAAGAGGAAGGGGAGGGGACGGATTCGGATACCTACATACCCTAACCTCTAAACCCTAAACCTAAATTACTAGAGCCTAAACCCTAAACCCTAAACCCTAAACCCCAAACCCCAAACCCCAAACGCTGCCCCTGGGTTCCCTCATCCCCGCCCGCTCCTTCGGCTTAGGATCTTCGACCTTTTGGGGTCTCTAGGGTTTAGGCCTAGGTAGGGTTTTGCAGGCTTGGAGCTTTCAAGGTTTAAGGTTTTTGCTTTTAGGGTCTAGGGGTGTAGGGTTTTAGGGTAGACATTCTACAATATGATGTGATATGATGTGCATATGTATATATATATATATGTATATATGTATGTATGTATATGTGACTTATGAGGGCGTACAAGAACTTTGTTGTTGAGAGCTGCACGGACACAAGCTTTTTGGCCATCATGTTCCATGCTCGTCTTCGTGCTCAAATCTTGCTCCCCTAGCCAGTGTGTACGCAGTGTGGGGTATTGTTGTCCGACAATGACAGATCAGCTTGACGTTGTCGTGCTGGGAGCAACGGGCTTCACTGGAAAGCTGGCATGCGAGTATCTGGCAAGCTATGGCGACAAGGCAGGTCTTGCCTTAAATCAGCCGCGGGTCTTCGAGGAAGGGAGTTCCTCCCTGAACCCCTAAACCCCTAAACCCCAAAACCCTACAGCCCTAAGCCCCAGGTGTCCTGGGCCATGGCCGGCCGAGACCTCGCCAAGCTTGAGGCCACGCGAGCCGGCCTGCCCACCAAAGCCGACATCAAGCTTCTGAAGGTGAACCTCAAGAAGGACCGGCTGGGTTTCGTCGTAGGGAGTTGAGGGAATGAGGCACCCTATGGAATCCCATAAAGGGTATGTATGTATGTACATGTATAGGGCCTATATATGAAACCCTCAACCCTGAACCCTAAGCCCGAAGCCCTAAACCCTAAACCCTAAACCCTGAACCCTAAACCCTAAACCCTAAACCCTAACCCAAATTCCCGCCCTTCCCTACTAAGAACCTCACGAAGGACCGCCTGCCATGGAGAAGTCCCCAATCCTCAATCTTCCAGGGCTGGGTCTTGGGGTTTGGGGTTTAGGGTTTAGGGTTTAGGGTTTAGGGTTTAGGGTTTAGGGTTACCCAGAATCCACGAAAAGTCCTTCTAGAGCCATAAGCAGTTTAGTTTGGAATGAGGCCCCCCAAACCTACCACGGCTTCAACCTGAGTCGAAGATCACATTGTTTCCCGAAGGCGGATTGGACCAGATCTGCGGGTTGGGGTTAACGGTCTTTTGAACTAGGTTCTAGGGTTTAGGGGTTTCGGGTTTTCAGGGTCTTTGGAGATAGCGTATAGGGTTTAGGGTTGAGGGTATAGGACCGGGTCTTATAACGGTGGACAACAGTCTGCCAGAGACGACATCAAAATCTGCTTTGCGATACATGAGCTCGCCTGCACATGTGCTAGCTGATGACTCGACGTAAGGTTCATAATGCAGACATCTCACTGAATGGGGGGGGGATAGTTTAGACACATGTATCCTAAACACCAAACCCCAAACCCCAAACCCTAAAACCCTTCTTTGTGTGTCTGCATACATCAGTGACGGATGTCTATCTCGGCTAGGATGAGCTCGTGGAGCTGGCGAAGAAGACGAAGGTCATCATGAACTTCGCCGGCAGCCCATACAGCGACAAGGCGCTGCCCGTGGTGGAAGCCTGTGCCTCCACAGGATGTTCCTGGGACTTACCCTCTTTACCCTAAGCCCTAAACCCTAAACCCTAAACCGTAAACCCTAAACCCTAAACCCTAAACCCTAAACCTAAACGCTCTGTACCTAATATGCGGGTCGGAAGAATTACGAACAGGGTTCCCGTTCGGTCCCCTTCAAATTTGTTTTAGAGTATCCCCCCAAAACCCTATTCTAACCATTAAGGCCCCTATAGTAGAGTTTTGCATGGGTTGTACCTTCTCGTTGAGGGGTAGTTCCCACTAAGCCGTAGGTCAGGAACTGGGGACGACATGAACCCTAAAAGGGTTTATGCCTCATATACCTTAATAGGAATTATAGTAGTCAGGGTATATGACCCCAAATTTTAGGGCTCATTTCGTCCCAAAGGGGGAGGGGCCCCCAAGGCTGCTACATCGACATCACTGCAGAGGTTCCTTTCATCAAGACCTCCGCCGAGCGCTACGATGCTGTCGCCAAGCAGTCTCTTTGTCATGGTTGGGTAGCATTTTACATGTTTAAGGGTGCTTAAGCCCAATAAGGAATAGAAACCCTAAACCCTAAACCCTAATCTTTTTTTAATTGTCCCAACCATGAATTCTAGGTCTAAGGCGCTGATCCTCCACAGCTGCGGCTTTGCTTCTTGGGGGAACAAATTCTGAACCCTAAAAGTTGGGATCATATACCGTCTTGCTACTAACCCCCTCAAGGTGTAACCACAACACCCTTTGAGGGTTAAACCCTAAACCCTAAACCCTAAACCCTAAACCCTAAACCCTAAACCCTAAACCCTAAACCCTAAACCCTAAACCCTAAACCCTAAACCCTAAACCCTAAACCCTAAACCCTATCCTCTTAAGGACAGCGTCCCCTCGGACCTGGGAGCGCTCATGGCCGCGAGGGAGATGCGCAAGCGCCATGATCCTTGGGGACGATCGGGTTTAGGGTTTAGGGTTTAGGGTTTAGGGTTTAGGGTTTAGGGTTTAGGGTTTAGGGTTTAGGGTTTAGGGTTTAGGGTTTAGGGTTTAGGGTTCATATTCCCTTATAGTAGGAATTAGAGTAGTCAGGGTTCGCTTGGCCCACAAGGATGCAGACTGCAGCGCCATCCGGAGCTTCGTCTACGCCTCCGGGGGCTTCAGTACCTTGGGGGACCACTTCTGAACCCTAAACCCTAAACCCTAAACCCTAAACCCTAAACCCTAAACCCTAAACCCTAAACCCTAAACCCCAAACCCTAAACCCTAAACCCTAAACCCTAAACCCTAAACCCTAAACCCTAAACCCTAAAACCCATAGCAGGGGCTTCGAGGGTTCATCTACCTAAAGTAGGGGTTAACCATTATGAGCTCTATAGCAGGGCTTGAAGGGTTTATATACTTACAGTAAGTAGGGGTTAGTTACAGTACGGGGGCTTTAAGGGCTCATCTACCTAAAGTAGGGGGTGCAGTAGCATAGGGTATAGACCTTGGGGGACCACTCATGAACCCTAAAGAAGGGGCTGTAGGGGTTCATCTGCCTAAAGTAGGGGTTGTAGTAGTAGAGGGTCTATGACCCCAGTTGTGAGGGATCAGAATCGGTCCCCGAAGGTGGTGGCACCTTGCACAGCCTGATGCACATGTACCAGGCCAAGGACGTTGAGAACTACGATGCCCTGATTCGACCGTACCTTGGGGGTGAAGTGGACCCTGAAAGGGTTTAGGGTTTAGGGGTTAGGGTTTAAGGTTTAGGGTTTAGGGTTTAGGGTTCATATTACCTTATGTATAGTGCAGGGTATATGGCCCCCCCCCCCCCCCCCCCAATTTTAGGGCTCATGTGGGTCCCAAGGTATGGCTTGGATCCGCCAGGCGGCCAGGCAGGACCCGACACCTGCGACGGAGGCAGCATCGACCAGCTGCCCGGATACGAGCCGCTGGTGGATCAGTGGATCATGCCGTGGGCCCCTTGGGGACGACATGAAAAGGGTTTAGGGTTAGGGTTTAGGGTTTAGGGTTTAGGGTTTGGGGTTTAGGGTTTAGGGTTTAGGGTTTAGGGTTTCATATCTACCTCATAGTAGGAGCGAGAGTAGTTTTGGGTATAGGGCCCTAAAAGGGTTTCGGGTTCATATTTACCTCATAAGAGGAGTTATTGCATTATTAGGGTACAGGGCCCCAATTTTAGGGTTCATTTCCCCAAGGTCATGGCACCCATCAATGTCCGGAACGTGCGCCGCAGCAACGCGCTCTCCGGCTACTCCTACGGCCAAACCTGCAGTGTGGGCGAGGCCTTGCTGGTTAGGGTTTAGGGTTTAGGGTTTAGGGTTTAGGGTTGAGGGTTGAGGGTTGAGGGTTGAGGGTTGAGGGTTTAGGGTTTAGGGTTTAGGGTTTAGGCCCTGCTGGCCGACTCGGCCCTCGCTGCCTGGATCACGGTCTTGGTCCTGAACTTCTTCTTCCTCCTTCTGCGGCTGCCTCCCAGCCGGTGCCTTGGGCACGGCGATAATTCCTCTGAAGGTATAAGAACCCTAAACCCTAAACCCTAAACCCTAAACCCTAAACCCTAAACCCTAAACCCTACACCCTACACCCTACACCCTACACCCTAAACCCTAAACCCTAAACCCTAAACCCAAAACCCTAAATCCTAAACTCCAACCCTAAACCCTAAACCTTTTCAGGGTTCATCATTCGTCCCCAAGGTGGTTCCTCACGCGCTACGTGCTGCCTGTACCGGGCCAGGGCCCGGACCGCCAGAGCATGGAGGAGGGGGTTTGGGGTTTGGGGTTTAGGGTTTAGGGTTGAGGGTCTAGGGTCTAGGGTCTAGGGTTTAGGGTTGAGGGTTTAGGGTTGAGGGTTTAGGGTTTAGGGTTTGGGGTTTGGGGTTTGGGGTTTAGGGATGGAGGAGGGCTACTTCCAAGTCAAGACCATCGCCCTCGCTGACAAAGAGGCCAGCAAGGCTCCCCTCAAGGTGGTTGCCCATGTACCTGGGTCAGTGTTCAACATCATCTTTTACATTGTTATGAATACTTAATGATAATATTTTTACATAGTACCCTAAACCCTAAACCCCATAACCCTAAATTACTAGATCCTAAGCCATAAACCCTAAACCCTAAACCCTAAACCCTATACCCTAAACCCCAAACCCTAAACCCTAAACCCCAAACCCCAAACCCTAAACCCTAAACCCTATACCCTAAACCCCAAACCCTAAACTCTAAACCCTAAACCGTGGTGCAGGTACAGAGCGGCAAGTGTGGGGATCCGGGATACAAGTCCACGGCCCTCATGTCGGTCGAGTGCGCACTCTGCTGTGCCCTGGAAAGGGAGGGCTCCTTGGAGACGACATGTTTAGGGTTTAGGGTTTAGGGTTTAGGGTTTAGGGTTTAGGGTTTAGGGTTTAGGGTTTAGGGTTTAGGGTTTAGGGTTTGGGGTCATTCACCCTATACTACTGTAATATTCCTACCAAGGTATATGAACCCTAAACCCTTTATATACCCTATACGACTATACTTCCGATTATATGGTATATGAACCCTAAACCCTAAATCCTAAACCCTAAACCCTTTTTAGGGTTCATTTCGACCCAAAGGCTGTGCCAAGGGAGGCGTGCTGACGCCGTCGTTTGCCCTCGGCCAAGTCCTCATCGACCGCCTCAACCGGGCGGGGATGAAGCTCTTCGTGGATTAGGGTTTAGGGTTTCGGGTTTAGGGTTTAGGGTTTCGGGTTTAGGGTTTAGGGAGGCAGCGTGAGATGGAGCGAAGTGGGATCAGCAGTATTCCGGCAACGCCCTCAGTCCGGCTGCAAAAAGGGAGGCAGCGAAATGATCTGCCCGGCGCACCAAGGGGTGCGCCGGTGTACTCGTGTTCCATGCTGCGCTCTCTTATCGCTTTAAGCATCCGTGACAAAAATGGGCACGCGCGCGCAGGCACATGTGCAAAGCCCGGAACTGCGAAGGATGTTGGGTTTTTTGGGGGGTGGTGGCCGCTGATTGGCTCTAGACACTTGGAGTCATGTAGGGGGTTTCCGAAAATAGGGGTACCCTTTTTCGGGGTCCCCTTAAAGGGATGATATTCTATTTTGGGTATACAAGGGGTAACCTTATTTTTACGAAACCCCGTGTGAGGTAGGATCTTTGCCTAAACCCAAACCCATAATCCACGAAGAGCTTCATGATCTATGGGTGAGGGCAGATCGGCTTCCTTTTAGAGCCTCTTCCATGTTGGTGGGCAGACCCCCCAAATCGTAGGATTCCTTTACAATAAGGACCCCAATAGGGTTTAGGGTTTAGGAAAGCCTCCTTATATAGAGATCCCACCCCAAGGTTGATGTGTTTTTAGCAAAGGCCTGTCCCAGGAAGGGGTTCCTCATTCTTCCTCAGACTTCTGGCCCCCGAAACCTTGAACCCTAAACCCTAAACCCTAAACCCTAAACCCTGAACCCCAATCTCATAAGCACCTCCAAGCCATCTTGGCCAAGGTAAGATCCCACTTCAAGGCAGGGGGCTCGGTGAACAAAAATGCTGCATGGCCGCCTCCGGAATCTGCCAATAGGGAAATACACACAAGACATATGTGTATGTATCTGTAGCTTTTTTTAGTTGATCTGGGCTTATTTATTTGCAACACAAAGTACATGTGGTCCTTATAAGTATATGTATGTGAAAATGTATAGGCATATGTGTATATATGGATATGTGTGTAGAAATACCGTTCTGTATAAGTATAATTAAGTAAACAAATAAATAATATATATATATATGTATTATGTATTTATATACATATATAAGTATGTATATGGATACATTTGTATCTATTTATGCTTCCACCACCGTGTCCAAGCCAGCGAATGTAGCAATGGAGTTTCCAGGGGAAGTTGTCGAATCCTGGAAGCTGAGGTCGGATTCATGCGCGACCCGCGCCGGGTCAACGTCCTGCTCACCCGCTCCTCGGTAGGGTTTAGGGTTTTAGAGTTTAGGGTTTTTGGCTTTTGGGGTTTTACAGTAGGGTTTTAGGGTTTTAGGGTCTTAGGGTCTTAGGGTTTTAGTGCTTGTAGGGTATAGGCCCCTCGGCCGAATCCCGCGAAAGAGCCCTCGAAGCTTGGAGCGTCCCTCGAATAGAGTGGGTTCTTCGGGTTCAGGGCTTTAGGGTTTAGGGTTTAGGGTTGTAGGGTTTAGGGTTTAAGGTTTTAGGGTTTAGGGTGTTAGGGCTTTTCTGGTTTAGGTAGTTAGTGCTTTTCGGGGTTTAGGTAGTGTCTAAGTATTTTTTAGGGTTTTAGTGTTTTACGGTTTAGGGTTTGCACCTAGGCGCGCGGCGTGGCCTCGTTGTGTTCGGGAACGGCCCCACGCTGAGCTCGGAGGCGTTGAGTAGAGGGTGCCGTGACTTAGGGTTTAGGGTTTCGGGTTTCCGGTTTAGGGGTTCGAGGATTTGTAGGGTTTATAGGGTTTAACAGGGTTTATAAGGGTTTAGGGTTTGAGGGTTTGTAGGGTTTGAGGGTTTGAGGCTTAGGGTTTAGGGTTTCGCTCAAGAGGCGACAGCCTTGCGCAACTGCAGCCAGGAGCCGAGACCCCTGGGTTCGCGAAACTGCCCTAAACCCTAAACCCCAAAACCCTAAACCCTAAACCCCAAACCCTAAACCCTAAACCCTAAACCCTAAACCCTAAACCCTAACCCTAAACCCTAAACCCCAAACCCTAAGCCCTAAACCCCTAAGCCCTGAACCCCAAGTGCCCTACAGGTGGAAACCTGGAGACCCTGGTTGGCGTGGGTCCGTGATCAGCAGCAAGCTCGGTAAGCCCCTCCGCCTAATATCACACCCGCCCCCCTACCCCCTAAAAATGAAGTACTCCCATTATCCGGGTGTAGGGTTTAGGGTTTGGGGGTTAGGGTTCAGGGCTTATAGTACAGGGGAGTATTTGAAATTGAGGGGCGAGGGGGGGGGGTTAACAATAGGGGAGGGGATTGGTTACTTTCCGCGCCCAAGCACCAAAAGTGCCAAGGTATGGTCCATGGGGAAGTGGGGAGTGGCGATGCCGTCATTGTCGGATGTTGTAACATGGGGGGTTTCCGAAATTACAGTAGGGGTACCTTATTGGGGTCTACCTTAGAAGGGAATCCTACTATTTTGGGGGGGGCCTATTCCTTGGGGAACCCTAAAATTGGGGTCATATACCCTGACTACTATAATTCCAAGGTATATGAGCCATAAACCCTTTTAGGGTTCCTTTCGTCCGCAAGGTTCTAAAAGGTCCTCTATCTTCGTAAACCCCCAGATGGTCAGTGACGCAGCTGACCTAAGTGGCAACCTCCCCGCGCTCAGGGGCGCGCACATGCTAGCGGAGCACCTGTTCGACGGTGCAGGCGTGGCATTGCCAGCAGACATTTGTATCGTATCGAAAAGCCCTCCAGCCGAGAGCGCTGCATGAACGCACACTTGGGTTTTAGGGTTTAGGGTTTAGGGTTTAGGGTTTAGGGCAGGTCCGCAAAAGCAACCATCTCAGCGTCTCTCGCTCGCTCGCTCGCTCGCTCGCTCCCTCTCTTTCTATCCTGCTAGGCCTTGGCGGCCACATCCCATGTGTTGACCCGTGGGACTTGCCAGAGGCCCACCAGCAGCCTGTCAGTTTTGAAAACTATGCCTACATGCTATCATATTCTTGATCTATGTCATGGTTATGCTTAGTGTTATACTAATCTTTCTTGCTCTGTTCATCTTCTATATTCTAATTGGGTATGATGGTGATAGTCTGTCTTTCATGTGGAGCGCTTCAGTGCTCCTAAACCCTAAACCCTAAACCCTAAACCCTAAACCCTAAACCCTGAACCCTGAACCCTGAACCCTTAACCCTTAACCCTTAACCCTTAACCCTTAACCCTTAACCCTTAACCCTTAACCCTTAACCCTTAACCCTTAACCCTTAACCCTTAACCCTTAACCCTTAACCCTTAACCCTAACCCTAAACCCTAAACCCTAAACCCTAAACCGATGTCCCTAAATATCTGCTCAACAGGTGTCTGGACCTTCTGATGTTGACAGGACCGAGAGTGACGAGCTGCCAGCTAAGTCTGGCTGGTTCTTAGTAGGGAATGAGGGAATTAGGGTCCCCTATACAACCCCTTAAAGGATGTGTATATATATATATACATACATATATACATACATATATGTATATATATATATATATATGGGGCCCTCATTCCCTCATTCCTTACTATAGGCACCAGGGGGGAAGTTCCACACCTGCGTCAGCATGCCTTGCTGCAAGGAGCATGTCTTCAACACCTTCTCCAGAGCGGCCACCAACTGCATCCTACCGACCGGCATCCTTCCCGCCCTTCCCAGGCGCAGTTCCGCCAGCTGCCTTCCCGCCGCCGACGTCCTTCCCTGAGCCTGCATCCTTCCCTCGCCCTGCATCCTTCCCTCCGCCTGCGTCCGCCCCTCGCCCTGCATCCTTCCCTCCGCCTGCATCCGTCCCTCGGCCTGTGTCCTTCCCTCCCTTCCCTCCAGCTTCTTTCCCACCGGCACCCATCCCAGCATCTGCGCCAACCACCGCAGCAACCACCGCACCAGCAAGCGTGCCTGAACCTGCAAACGCCCCAGCAACAGCAACTATCCCAGCCACATCCTTGCTGCCACCTCTTTGCCCCTGGACTGCGGCAAGGACTGCTAGTTGAATCCATGTCCTTGGGGACTTGAGTCCTGCAAGGTCTTATGATTCCAGGTACCCTAATCGGGGATTGTAGTAGTTTGGTGTGTACCCAAGTTTAGGGTTACTTTGGTCCCTCTAGTCTTTCTTTGCATCACGCCGGAGGACCCATGCCCACGGTGCGCATACCAAGCAGGACCTCCACCAGGCAGGGCAAGTGTTGGAAGGGATGGTGGCGAGTCGCTATAGAAGGGTTTATGTTTGCAGGGTTTTTTTAGGGTTATGGGGGTTGTAGGGTTTATAGGGTTTGTAGGGTTCATAGGTTTCATAGGGTTTGTAGGAGAGTAGGTAACCTTTAACCTTTTTGGTTAATATATTCCCCTTATAATCCCAAAGGTTAACCTTTAAAACCCCTAGGTACTGGACAACTAAGATAGGGTTTGTAGGATTTATAGGGTTTGTAGGGTTTGTGGGGCTTAGGGTGTAGGTCCATTGCTCTACGCACCTTCCCAAGCCGATCCCAGCTGTTTGTTGCTTTGGGAGCCCTAGGCGGAGGGATGTGGCCCTACACCCTAAACCCTAAACCCTAAACCCTAAACCCTAAACCCTAAACCCTAAACCCTAAACCCTAAACCCTAAACCCTAAACCCTAAACCCTAAACCCTAAACCCTTGTCCTGGAAAGGGCATAGAAGGCAACGAGCACCGTACTTGCTACCAGTAGAAGCTCGTTCTTCCTAGATCAAACATGTTCCGTAGCCCTTCAGTTGTTAAGGCAGGTTGGGTTAAAGATCATCTCTTCTGTGTCCCATACATCATAAAGGGGTTGTAGGGCTCAGCAAACCCTAAAACCCTAAACCCTAAACCATCAAACCCCAAATGCCCACGAGCAAACCTCCGACATCTGATCGAAGCCGAGTCACAAGTGAATGATCGTGTTCTTGCAGGCTCGGGTGCTCTTAGGGTAGCTACATGGTCCCTCAATATAGGCCCTGAAAAGTGGAACCCTTATATACCCTGTACACCCCAATGGTCCATACCTCAGAACCCTTTTTGGAGGTAAGGGACCATGTTAAAGGCCCAATGTTTCTCCCAGAAGAGGTGCAGGGATCGCAGACATGCCATGCGCACGTCATGGGCCGTCGCGACTGTCCCCCCAAAACCCCCCAAACCCCCCAAAACCCCCCAAAGCCCCCCAAAACCCCCCAAAACCCCCCAAAGCCCCTAAACCCCCCAAACCATCTGACCGTCCCTGCGTGGTGTGTCCTTTCGGGTGCAAAGACTTGCAGTTGGGAGGCCCAGACGAGGGCCTCGGCGTGGCTGGGCGATGAGGCCCTACGAAGCACAATGTAGTGAATAATATTATTGTATAGCATGGTATTAGTGTGTAGAAGCGTACTATTGTATAGAATCATTTTGTTTACAGAATAAGATCCAACAAGAGAAGAATAGTCATTTATTCATTTTTTAAGTTTGCAAATATACAGCACAGGAACAGGATGTTAACATAAGAGTAGTGTTCTATAGAAATGGCAAGATAGAAATATTGTGCATAGGTGAAGTCATCGGCAGACATGAAAGATAGCCATAAGGTATATGATGATGCGACCGGTTGCCCTTTGCCAAAACCCTAAACCCTAAACTCTAAACCCTAAACCCCAAACCCCAAACCCCAAACCCAAAACCCCAAACCCCAAACCCCAAACCCTAAACCCCAAACCTGCCTAAGTTCGCCAAGAGATTTTCCGAACGGAAAAGAGGCCAAGCAACGGACAGACGTCGCCATTGAGGAGCTCGCCGCCTCCGTAGATACCAACTTTCGGAAGCGACAGGAACAGCGGGTGAAGGCTGGGATGGGGTTTAGGGTTTAGGGTTTAGGGTTTAGGGTTTGGGGCTTAGGGTTTCGGGTTTAGGGTTTGGGGTTTAGGGTTTTGCGTTTGGCGTTTAGGGTTTTGGGTTTTGCGTTAGGGTTGTTTTTTTTCTTCGCCAGTGAGGCGACTGATAGGTTTGCAAGAGTGGGACATGCGCAAGGGATGCAAGAGCAAGGGGCAAGACCCGGTCACCTGATGATTTCTTGGGCAGTCGTGTGGGTTACTCATCCGGTTGCCGCAGCAGAGAAGCTCCACCATGCCGTTGCTAGGACGCAGAAATCTCCGACTCGAATGTTTGGGTGGAATATGTCATGACCCCAGCTTCGCACAATCTGGTGCGTGCCATGAACTTGTTGATTCGATGAGTATGCGCCCTGCCACTAGATCAACATTGCCTGAGGTGGACCCAGTTACCCAGAAGATTTGGCTCCAGAATGAGGCGCCTCCTCTGTGTCCTTCGCGTGTAGTCCCTAAACCCTAAGCCCTAAATCCTAAACCCTAAACCCTAAACCCTGAACCCTAAACCCCTTCCCATGGCGTTCAAGAGGAGACCGGGGAGACGATGTGGAAGCATGACATGATCAAGGGCAATCAAGCCAAAACCTCAGAGTTAGGGTTTAGGGTTTAGGGTTTCGGGTTTAGGGTTTAGGGTTTCGGGTTTAGGGTCTAGGGTTTCAGCTTGCTCTCACCTTACCTGGCAGCCTCATGAGGCAAGACGGTGAGGAGATTCAGCTTGCCAGACACGGTGGCAGCGTCGGATACTGCACATCCCCTCCGACAGAATGGCAGCGAAGAAGAGCATGCCGGGGCCTGAATTTAAGGGACGAAAGGAGGGACCCGTATAAGGGACCCTAGGGGTTGTTTAGGGGTTATTTAGGCGCTACTTAGGTATGTAGGGAGGTCTTGTAGGGGTTATATAGGGGAATCGGATTATAAGGGTCCCTTATAGGCCTTACCCCCCCCCCCCCAGAATCAGCTCTGCTACAAGCTTGCTGCTGCTACTCGCTTCAGATGGCCAACTGAGTGTGAAAGAGCAGTGAAGCAGTGGAAACGTGCCTCTCTCAGGATCGCGAAGAAGATGCTGGTGGTCGCCCCCGCCCGTGCAGGGCTAGAATTCCCTCCCGCGCCTTGGAGGACTTCGGCGACGCCCCCCTTGAAGGATTCGAAACGCGGACGCGGGAAGGAATTGCCGGCGACCTCCGGCGACCATCGTCCATGAGCCCCCAAGAGACCATGCGGAGCATCCTGGGGCATCGCGATGTGAAAGTGTGTTTGAAGAAAATGGAGACTGCCATTCCTTTCCCGATGCTGCCAGAATTTTCCTTGCAGAAGTACAAGAGCTTCGAGTTCTGATGTCGAATCTGATGTGCCTCTTTGGCTCCAGTCATCAATCGTGCGGGGGGATGCGGGCCACTCCCTGGAATCACGAGAGGATCAGCAAATGTCAAAGACACCCCCCCCCCCCCCCGCAACGAGCGCGAAGAGAGCGGCCCTACGGCAGCAACATCCTAAAGTTCTTGGCTCTACATATGGCTCAATTCATTGGCAGCTTATAGTAACACGCCTCATACAAAAGCAGCCTGGCTTCGGTGCAATGGGCCCCAGGCCCTGTGCCGGAAGCCCAGTTCTTGTTCCGCCCCCAATTGTCAGTCATGGCCCCCCCCTTAACCCGTGTCACGTGTGTCGGGCAGGAGGCGCGCAAGAAATCTTGGGGTTTGGGATGCGAGCGCACGTCTAGTAGGCAGTTCTTGAAGGGCCTTCGAACTGCATTCTTCTTGCGGTAGCGAGGTGCATCAGGGCACAGGCGGGGTTAGGGGGTTTCGGGCGCTTGTTTTGGGGCTTTAGGGGTCGAGGGTTTCCCGGCTCAGTGCTAAGACCCCCTATGCGAAGCCATGGTTCCTCCAACAAGTGGTGGTGCGGCCATTTGGGGCTCGAAAACGAAAAAAGGGCACGCGCCTGCTACCCCAATCGTCGCAGAATCCCCTATGAAAAAGAGCTCCCATCCAAAAAGGGCATCTAGACTTGGGTTTTAGCTTCCAGTTCACGGTTCCCTGCGTGGCCCTAAACCCCCTAAACTCCCTAAACTCCCTAAACTCCCTAAACTCCCCAAACTCCCCAAACTCCCCAAACTCCCTAAACCTAAACCCTAAACCCTAAACCCTAAACCCTAAACCCTAAGGATACAAGTGCCCACGAGCGGCCCTGGTGGCTACGATGCGAGGAGGTGCCCATTGGTAGGAAGGGACTCCCAAATTTTTCAAAAGCGCTTGTTACGGCTTTAGGGTTTAGGGCCGAATAACGGACTCCCAAATCCCAGAAGCGCCTTTGTACGGCTTTTGGGCTTAGGGCCGAATTAGTAGGGTTTACAGGGTTTTTGGGTTTAGGGGTTAGAGTTTAGGGTTGAGGGTTTAGGGCCCAGGGTTTTTGGGTTTAGACTCGGCTTGATTTGGGAGTCCGCAGCACACCTTTCTATTCCTTCGAGGCATGTATATTTTGTACGAAGTTGGATCGGGCCGGTGTGAGCCAGAAAATTTCCGAGCTGCAAGACGGGCGATTCCTTGAGAGGGCTTTCCAAGGCCCTCCATAGTCGGAACCGCGCCAGGCACGAGAGCGCGGAGAGTCGCAGCGATGCGCGCAGTCTCCGCCTACACCGCCTCCGAAGCAGCCCGGTTGCAAGGTCCTTTTGTGGGCTGCCCTGTCTTCTGGTCCCTAAACCCTGAACCCTAAGCCCTAAACCCTATGCTCACGACAGTCCCAAGAGGAGTGAAGAAGAACCTGCATCTCCAACCTCCCTGCTTGGAGTGGAAAGACTCCGGCTTTTTGCGGTATGTCTCGACGAGCGCGAAAGTGCACTCCGAACGCCCCCAATCTCAGCCCGGCCACCTCGAATCCTCAAACAAGTCCCTGAACATCCACACCCCAGGTGAACATGTAGAGAAGTTTAGGGATTCATGCTGAATGTTTACTGGCATAGCAAATGAGCTGTCCTTCAGTGTGGGGGGGGGGGGGGGGGGGGGCCTTGAAGAAACTCAGAAGGTTTCCTCGCCGAAATCTCGCGTCGCCCGTTTTTTTGGTCACAAGTGACGGGGAACAATTCAGGTGATCCCGCTGAACAGTTTCCGGAGTTGTTCTTTTTCTCCACTTCCAGGGACCCAATCAGGATACAACATCGCCCATCTGCGTAACGTCACATTCATGGGACGCGAAACGAGTGATGCGATGAGTCAAACAAGTCCAGAAGTCCCATCAGTGTTATCAATTCTAGAATCTTCTGTACATAAATTCCATAAATTGTGTGGATTCCAGCATCTTCTTTACATAGGTTCTGTAAATTGCAAAAAAAATCGAGAACATTTCTGTACAAGTAATACCTACCGTGGGCGACATGGGCCCTTCAGATGTTACAAGGTATATACGGGGTATATAAGGGGGTCCCCTGTTCAGGGCCCATGCCAAGGGTTTAGGGTTTAGGATTTAGGGTTTAGGGTTTAGGGTTTAAGGGTTTCAGGGTTTAGGGTTTCAGGGTTTAGGGGTTTCAGGGTTTCAGGGCTTAGGGTTTAGGGTTTAGGGTGAGTTTCGATGAGGTCTCCTCCAAGTTGCCAACGCCACCGAAGCTGCCGAATCCGACTGTCGCCCGGCCTGGGGTTTAAGGGGGAGGGGGAGGGGGGGAGGGGTGCAAAAAGCCCATAAACCCTAAACCCTAAAACCCTAAAACCCTAAACCCTAAACCCTAAAACCCTAAACCCTAAAACCCTAAAACCCTAAAACCCTAAACCCTTAACCCTTCCGAAGCCTTCGGCCCAGGCGCCGCTGTCGCCGCGCACGCACCGCCTGTCCATGTCGGCGGTCTCCATGCAGCGGCTCAAGGTGTCGCCTTGCAGCGTGGCTCAGGGTTTAGGGTTTAGGGTTTAGGGCTTAGGGTTTAGGGTTTAGGGTTTAGGGTCTAGGGCTTGGGGTTTAGGGTTTAGGGTTTAGTGTACCATGGTTCATGCTCGGGAAAGCTGGGTTTTTTGGGGTTTATGGGGCTTATGGGGTGTAGGGGTTTATCGGGGTTTTAGAGGGTCCCTAGCATGTATAGGCTGGGATGTTCCCCCTAGTCCTTAATAGGGGGAACATCCCAATTTGGGGTTTAGAGAGGTTTACAGGGTCTACAATGGTGTCTATGGTGTATTCTCGAGAGCTCTGGGGCGTTTGCGGTTTATAGTGCGTATAGGTTTTGGGGTTTGTTGGGTTTAGGTTTTTATGTTTTAGGGCCCGCGGGGTTGATGGGCTTTTGGGTTTGTAGGATTTGCAGGGTTTGGTTTGGCGTTTCATGCTTCGAGGGCCTATGAGCGTCTACGAGGGTCTACGGGGTTTTAGGCTTTCTATGTAAAGTTTAGGCCTTGTATCAAGGGATTAATGCTCGCACCCCTTAGGTTGTACCCCTAAAGGTTCCCCTGAATATACTCCTAAAATGGCCCTTGTACTACCCTTAAGGATCTTTAAAACGGGTCCCCAACACACAAGGGCAGATCCTTAAGGGTCAGGGTTTGGGGTTTAGGATTCAGGGTTTAGGGTTCAGGGTTCAGGGTTTGGGGTTTAGGGTTTAGGGTTAGGGGTCAGGGTTTGTGGTTTAGGGTTTTCGGGTTACGGGATGGTGCACCTGAGGCAAGGAGCATCATCGAGAGTTCTGGCTCCCTTCCCGTTCGGATGCGCTGCGTGCCCCTTCGGATGCAAAGCTTTTACGCCTCATAAGCCCTGTAAACCTCTAGGCCTGGTTTTAGGGATTAGGGTTTAGGGTTTAGGGCTAGGGTTTAGGCCTAAACCCTAAACCCTAAACCCTGCTACAGCCGTCCTGCAGGATGGGGCTGGCAATCCTACTAGAGCGGGGTAGC